CTCGCTTGAACGGAACTTGCACATGCATCTTTTCAATAATCTCTCATCCTCGGGAATATCGTGAGATTCAAACAATCCATTGAATCTATATCCCCGAATTTAACAGTATCAGCGGCACACGAGTGGATAGTTTGGGGGTTAGGACGGAGCATGGATCGCGCTCACTCCGACGCAGCAGGGTGACGCGTTGCCCAATATCCAGGCACCTACATTTGTCGAGGCAGCGGCTTACAAGATGCCTTCATATTTATTTCATTGCCTGCCTTCAATTGAATCTCTCCATACCAGCTAACTTGCACGGCTCTTACTCCACGCGATACCTCAAGTCTTGCCCCTCCTCAATTAAAAGTTTAGTTTCACTGCATCGCTGCCATGCCGTCAGCAGTTGCCATCGTGCTTTGCACCCCAGAGCTTCTGCAGCACATCCTGCTTAACCTCTCGATGCGAGAGCTCCTAACCAAGGCCCCTCGCGTCTGCAGGAACTGGCGCGCCGTGATAGATGGATCAGCACCCATTCAGCAGAAACTGTATTTCCGCAGCATACCCTCATCTTCCACCGCCGTGGTCTCCTCATCCTCAACAGCAGCGGCAGCGGCAGGTACAGGCTGTGGTGCCCAACATAACCCGCTGCTCGCAGAGCTCTTCCCGCACTGGTTCGGCGGCCACTTCTTCAACACCGCCGCACTAGATACCCTGCCGCTGACCCGGCGCCGCGATGCTTTCCTCCGCCGGGGCGCCTCATGGCGGCGCATGCTGGTTCAGCAGCCGGCCATCACCACCGTGGCGCTGCTCGAGACCTCGGCCGATCACCGCCGCCGCCGAGGCTTGCCGCGCCCGGGAAGCACTGATGCTGAGGTACAGGATGGAGGGGGCCACCAAATACGAGGTCGTGGTGACGATGATGATGATGACGGCAGGCAGCGCGCGTGGGCCGTGTTCGCCGACGACGCCGTGCGCATGGGCGCGTTCTACGACCTCGCTGTGGACGGCATCGAGCGGCCCGGGACGGTGCGCTTTGTGGTCTGGGCGGACCGTAGCTTTTTAGAGCGAAGGGCGGAGGTAGAAAGCAGCGAACGAAACGAGCGCCGGTACACTGATGGTGACGGGGAGGAGGAAGCTCCAGCGGGAGCAGAAAGCGAAACGGCTGACTCCGAACCGCGCCAAGATCCGGTGCTTCCGGATGCGGATGTCGCCATATACACTGTCTCGCAGTTCGCCTTTCGGTGGATGCCAGGGGTGCTCAACAGCGCTGAGTGGGCGAGTAAGTTCCGCAGCGAGGACCACGAATCAGTGACGTTGGTCCATGATACGGACATGATGGGATAATAAGAGTAGTTTAGTAAACAGAAATTCGTTTGGCTCCTGCTATTGTACTGAAGTGACGTAATGAGACACCTCGGTAGTTATAAGTATTGTTTTTATTAACTATAGAGGTCCACCGTATTATCTCCTAGACTCCCTTGAACTTCATATCATCTTGAATCGTAGTCGACTTGATTCAGTTTGGTGTAATTAGCCGAAATGGTCAGGGGAAAACTACTATAATCGAGTTTAGATTTCACGTCCACATTTTTAAAATCCAAAAATTGATGGTTTTAGTATATTAAGTCTTCTAGCTAGGCCAATTACAATAGAATCTGCCCTTTAAACGGAAATAAACAATAGATCACAATTAACAGAATTCGAAATTACAAATATGTTAACATTAATCGTCGCAAAACCCTCCATCCTTGTTAGTGAGCCAATTTGTAGTAAATCTGTTTGACGTCTACTATTCCTCAGCCTTGGTTTTGACTTCATCCCTCCCATCAAAAAACCAATAATTGTTAACTGTTATCTGTAATTCCCTTTACCTGCTGACTAGTCGCCCTTTGAATCTTAGTTTGGCCAGGCCGTGACAGCTATCAGCATATCGTAGGATATTTTCTGTGTGTGATATCCGACATTCATGACAAATAGCTCTGGCAAGCGCCCTGTACTACACCGGAGACGAGGCCTAATGTCACGAATTTTAGTTACAAAGAAACCACACCGATCGTTAAATAAGGAAACCAGGGGTTTTCATACTTCCAATTGTACTATCGACGTTGCAGGTCTTTAGACACGGCGCGATGTCCTTGATAATCGTATTGATGTTGGTACACAGAGCGTTTACTGGACCTTTTCCCGCACATTTGACCGAATTCGCAGTGGTGAGAATGCATGGGAAGGCGCATTCTGCTTCTGATATGTAAGGGGCCAGTGCGGTTAGAAGATCACCTATGCCTGCATCGCTGGATGCATAAGAAAAACCAGCAAATAGAATTATAGTTGACACCACCTTCATGATGAGCAGTTTTGCTTTAAGCAATGATTTCTCGAAGACAATGGCAAAATCGATCCACCGAGTGAAGGGGTTTGTGGTCAAAACTGTAGAGATGCTCGAAACTGTACCCGGATGGGCATTGGATTATTATACTTGAATATGCTATGGCGCTCGGTAAGGTTTAGTGGCTAGAATGCATATTGAACACACCATTCTTTGGCGGCGCAGCAATGGCAGAGTCAAACTAAAGGGACACAAGAGACATCCCTGAGAGACCTTGAGACCCCGTGTTTTTGGCGAAATCAATGTACCCGAACCAAATTCTCTCCTGATCTCCAATCCGGAATAATTCACGAAGTTTTATATCCGATTTTCTTTTTTAAACCCTATTTAAAGTGAAGATGGTAAATTGACTTCAAGATTGCACAAATAAGAACTACACTAATAAATATGCAGCTTTCGTTATCATTACCTGTTACTTATCTATGTGGTTATAAATATAGCTTAGTTGACTCTTTTATTTAGGCCAGTCGATTCATCAATTCTTGCCTTGGAAATGTCAAACTCCCTGGCCGTTAAGACATGCATGGAATGTATTGAGACCTGTCACGGCCCGCGGCCCGACTCTGGTTCTCTAGGGAATCCATTCCAGCTTGGGAGCCAGGGGCGGTGGCTTAATTGATAGTCCGGAACACGCGGAAGGCAGAGACTTGAGAGGCTTCACAAATAGCTTGTAGATAGTCAATGCTTTTGGAAAACGCCTCTGTATTTTTCTAGTTCATAAACTTACGGACGGGAGAAGCGGAGAACGACCACTCCAAAGTATGAGGTTACCTCAAACCAAATGAAACATGTGCGAGATCATAAGGGTTACAATATAATTAGTCTCTACTATTGATAACAGTATCAGTAACGATTTCGGTTGGAAACAGCGGCGGTTTGTGCTTATACTCTGAGTTCCAACTCCATGCCGTTCATAATAGCAGGCAAATGTGGGGTGTTCGACTCCAAAACCTCAAATGTTACTTCAATAAAAGATAAGGGCAAACTGCACACGAAGAGGAAGAAGCCGATGGTTTAAATGCCTTCTTTTCCCCTTCTCTTTTTCAGGTTAGAATGCTGTTATTGGGAGGACATGGGATAGCGTAGAGGTGCAAGCACGTCAAGTGGTGGAGTCTTTGGCTGCACGGGCAAGCTCCTGGGCAACCAAAATCCCGATTGGCTGGGAAAGACCGGGCGGATCACGTCAGAGAACCCCGGAATTCAGAAAACGGCAGGACAGCAACAAGCCGTGACGAAAGCTCTCAATTACTTCATATCCCCACGTTTCATCACATTAGAAAGCACAACATTGATCACATCCGACTCGGGCCAGCACCACCGAAAGAGAAACCAACCCAGCAGATGTTCCGAAGGATGTCTACCGAAGCCACTGCCAAAGCTTTCTTCTCGTCCCCCCACTTCGCCGTGGTCGGTGCGAGCTCGAACCCCGCCAAGTTCGGCTACAAGAGTGAGTATCGCCGCCGCGCATCCCCGGGGGATGAGGGAAGAGGCCCACCCTCCTATAAAACCCCGACTATGAGAGGAACCGGACTCCCATACTGACGGGGGCCTTGGCTTAGTCTTCGCGTGGTACACGCACCACGACATCCAGCCGACCCCGATTAACCCGGGGTCGCCCAGCATCACGGTGGAGGGCAAGGACTACGCCACCAAGCCCACGCTTTCGGCGCTGCCGGACCCCAAGAACACCTCCGTGTCCGTCATCACGCCGCCGTTCGTGACCCGCCAGGTGCTCAAGGAAGCCAGGGAGCTGGGGATCCCCGCCGTGTGGCTGCAGCCGGGGACTTTCGACGACGACGTCCTCAAGCTTGCCAGGGGCGAGGGTGAGGATGGCTACCACGGCGAGGTCGTCGCAGGCGACGGCGGGCGCGGCCACGAAGGGTGGTGCGTACTGGTAGATGGGGAGCGCGCTCTCAAGGCCGCCGGGAAGCTATGATTCCAATCTATCTGGACAGGAGAAAAGCATCCGACTAGACACGCCGTATCATGAGGAAAAGTGACATTACCCCCTGCTCAGAGTAGTCTTATGGTGCATGTATTGTGGAGAGGTGCACCTTGTCTCAAAACGATCATGATAGTACTCCTAGCTATTCATCCATACGGGCTTTAGCTTCAAGTATAGCATGACTACTGTAGAAGGCAATAGACAAACGAGATATATCAGCCAGTTCAGATCATTAAAAAAGGAAAAGAACAAAAAAAGAAATCGTGGAGAAGCTGGGAATCGAACCCAGAACCTTTTCCATGCTGTTTGAAGGCATGCTAAGGAAACGTCATACCACTAGACCACATCCCCTGTGTTGAAGACCTCGGTTGGAGACGAGGCAATGAATAATAGTAGGCTTATCATATCTTTTGTAACTTGGTCTAGACTATGCAAAATACTTTGAACAACGCTTGGATTTTGTGCTCGACGCTTTCAGGGCTAGTGGGTTGGGAGGGCGAAAAAAAAAAGTTTGCAATAGTGGAGCTGATAGGGGTATAATTCCGGGACAGCCTACGTCGGGAGCACGAACTCAAGGGATTGAGAGGGTAGAAAGGGCAAAGAGAACCTCCACCGGAAACGAGCACCAAGTCAACGGATTCCGAAGGTAGACAGGGCAAAAAGAAAAGTTTATGCAGGTGTAACAATTACAGAATATGAGGCTTGAACTCATGACCTTCGCATTACCAATTATAGGCTCGATTGAAGAGCTATATTAGTACGACGCTCTAACCAGCTGAGCTAATCCTGCTGAAGTTGTGTCAAGGGCCATTTATCGCATCCCATTAGTCATACTACAATGAGTGGGTGCCACCCGTACTAGAACTCGAAAATAGACAAAGGAAGGGAAAACAAGATCCACGTCTCAACGTGTAGCAATCGGGAAGGCTGCACTGCACGTCTTGAGGATACTTGTAGGTCGTAGTAGGCCCCACTTGCATTATCTCGCGTGCTAACATGACGTTCGCTACCAAGCAGTGCTTGGTACTGGATCATTTGACATCTGATTTGGTGCCGCACTGTCACACCCCTGTCAACCGCATCAAGACCATATCCCACCCCCCAGGCACTTGGACGGCAGTACGGTTACTGTACGCTCCTCCATCTACCACGAGTTCATTTCTATCCAATGTGACGTAGTACTACAGAAATAACCTGGGCGCGTATCAAGACTGGCGGACGGGCCAAGCAAGCGAGGAAATTTAAAAACAAAATCCACCCGGCTTGGAACGTCGTATCTATGGCAGGCCCATCGCTGGGGGAACAACATCTGTGAGGGCGCGTATTTCAGTTTGTTCGGGGTGGCACCGTTGATCTTACGACCCAGGTCTACCGCAGATAGCAAAGCAAGCAATAGCAATAGCAGCACTGATATTTATTGTTAGTCAAAGGCGCACGCACACACAGACGACATCAGTCGTCCGTGGGCTGAGGTTCACGCAAACCACTGCCGGCATCCGGCTTTGTCCGTGCGAAGCTCAGGATGCAGCACTTGGAGAGAGGCCAATGAGCGTTGGGTGTAGACCGGGATCCCCCACACGGCACCAGCTCCCCTCATTGCCCAGAACTGCCCGAGATGGATGTGGTAGATAATGGGATGCATTAACTACACCAAGCGCTCTGCCAGCCTCGCCACCTAGTCTGGCCCAATCTATTGTGCTGACGGTATGACTCGCGCCTCGATGTCCTTTGGGACGGGGTAGGCGAGTTCTATAGACCGCCAGAGCCTGGAACGCGCAATCAGAGTTGGATTGCGCCGGTCGCGTGCTCCAGTGCAATATATATGTGTATATGTGATTTGCTTGCCACGCCGAATATCGCTCGGAAAACCCGCAGTCTTTTGCCCCCCCTTCTTGCTGAACCGAGCCCTAAAAAAAGGACATAGGTGCGACCGAGAGAGGAGCTGCCCACCCGCCCCGCAGCAATATTGCTGCTTCTGTTTCTGCTTCTACTGCGAGACGACTGCGACGTCGTCTCGACCCTGCCTTACGCGACGTGGTAGCGGCCATGGCAACACCCAATCGGGCACCTCTTAACAGATGGAGAGAGAGTCCAAGGAGGGGCAACCCACCGCTATAACATAGTCTGCCCCCCTACAGAATGACGAAACCGGGGGCTCTCCAGCCAGAGCTGGCATCCCGTTTGGGAAGTTGGCAATCGGCGTTATCAAGCGCCCACGTGTTGGTGGCAGGCCGATCTGCGACCACCTTCCGAAACGGTCGGCCTGGCTCGGCGTTCCGCACCGCAACAGGCCAATGAGCGCCGTCCTGCCGATTAACGCTGGATTTATAGGGAAGCCCGCCTGCGGGCTCGTCGCAGCTAACCGTACAAGCTAGACTGGGCAGGCCAAGCCAGCCCATCTCATTACTCACAGGTGAGTAAGGCCGGGTGTGGTTGTGGGTGTGGTGTGGGTGGGCGCCTGTTAATCAATCGAGACTTGCTGTGCTGTGCTGTGGGCGGGGTGGAGACTGTTTGGCAAGCTAGTTCCAGGCCGCAATCCACGCACACTTACACACGCACCCCGGTCCCTGTGACGGAATATGCGAATCTTTATCACTTGCCGTACCACCGCTCTCTGCCGTTCCATCCTAGATATCTATCTTTATGCTGCCAGGATTCACCTCCGCCGAGAATCTACTCTTTTAATTCCTTTACCCCAGGATCGTGAGGATTCCGGAGCCTCGCCTCTCTCAGATAATTGGCTTTGGAAAAAAACACCACCAGCGTAACTCGTCACCATGCCAACATGGCGACCGACTTTGAAGATTTGTTGATCCATCCTTTCCGAGAGCTCATAGAGAGGGGCAAAGAAGCGATCGCCAATGCCGAGACCGGGTGGGACTACGATTATGAGCGATCTGAGCTCATGCTGAGAACGGCCCGCTCCCTCATGCGTGAGGGAGAACGGGCCCTCTACCGGGTGCAGCCCGTGCTGAACGCCAGCCTCAATAAATACGGCGATGCATTCAAATTAGCAATAATGGAAAGTGGTATGTAAAATTTTCTCCCTCTGCTTTCTCCCCAGGGGAACATGCACTGTACAGTGGTGGCTGTGACCTATGTTCTCATTGGGTGTCTATCTGGATGCGGATGCAGTTTCTAATCTATATTCGCAGATGAAATCACTGAAAGGCAGCGATACCTAGAGGACCTACTCTATGATATCGACGACTTTATAGACATGGCAACTTTTGATGTTGCCAAGTTCAGAGACCTGCAGGCCGCATCGAAATCATTCGCTTTGACCGCGTTGGAGGTCTTCAAGAGGATACAGGTCGATAGCTCAGTGGCGCCATCCCCTGTCCTTGGTGCCTCGATGTACAAGTATAGGTCGTCATCATCCATGTCACAAACAGAGCCCATGATGATACCTCGGCGGCAGTCTCGGATGGAAGACCGCGGCGTTGACCACATGTTGTTGAATATTCCCGAGTCGCACCAGGAACCGCAGCTGAATCGAGCCCTGTCGAGTAGCGTAAAGAGCAGCCCTGGAGATGGGTTTGCTAGCTATAAACCAGGTACTAAACCTCGCCAATCGTCTTTTGGCCAGTCTACTGCCAGGTCTGCTTCATCCATGGGCAGCTATCAGTGGTCTAGCCCCTGGCCTAGCCCGCTGTCCCCTGGTATTAAAGCCAGACATTCACGGCAGATCTCTGTTCCAGACAGCTTGACGTCCGATATCTCGAGTTTAAGGATAAGCAGCGAGTCCGATCGGTCAAAGGGCGCAGAAAGCCAAGCACTGGTACCGGCCAATCCTCCAGTGGCACCGTGGAAGAGTGCATGGTCCACATGGGTCACAGATCAAGCGTCTGCAAACAGACCTAGGGCGGCTCCTGAAGCGATACCAGAAAACTCGGCACTTGATTCGGTGCCTGGGGGAGTACGGCCCCAGGCTCTTGGGCCCACAGGCAAGTTCGCTTTAACTAATCAAAACCCGGGGTCGGTGAGAGGACCCGTTCTCTCCTCGAGCCCACTGGTCCGACTCTCCATCCAGGGGAAACTCGTTCCACCCCCTAGCATGAGTGAGCGAAAGTTGATACCTATGGATAAGCCGAGCTTGCTACGTCACAAACGGTCTCCCTCAGTTCCTCTGAATACAACAGCTTCGCCTACCATTCTCGAATCGCCCATTGAAGGCGAACTCGCCGTGAAGGATGATCAGCGCATCTCGACGACGCCCCCAATGGTGGATCAGGTTACACCTGAAGAGAACGAGGTCACGTTGAATACTGGCCCAATCGAGACAGTGGAGGAAATCATCAACTTAGATCCGTCCGCCTTCGCTGAACCCTTAGCTCCTATTGAAGCTACTACCTCGGAACAAGACATCATCTCCTCAGTAGCTGCTCCTATCATTCTTGAAATGATGCCAGCAGAGATTCCAGAGGAGAGTATACCACAAGATATGCAGCCAGAATCGCAGGTTGAAATCCAACCAGAGACAGATATCCCCACTGTTTCAGAGATACCCGCCGGTTCGGAGTCATCTACAGTTACAGTTTGGCCACGACCCCTGGATTCTCCTGTCGAAGACACCTTTTCAGAGAATGGGAAGCATTCTAGTTCAACGTCCGACATACAGATTACAGGTTGGGACAAATATCTGCCGGCTCCCGCTCAATACGGGCCGCCGCAACGCTCCCTGCCACTACCTCCCAAGCCTTTCGATACAACGACTCCGCCGGACAGCCCAACCGGGTCTACATCCTCAAGTCAACACCTCTTGGCAAAGCCCACTCCAAGGACTCCGGAGGTAAAGCATGTCGAGTTTGATCCCGTGGTGCAGGTGACTGAGGTAGCTTCCTTCCAGCCTCGGAAGAAGACGCCAAAGCCGCTACCGCTCCACAGGCCGATGTGGTTTACGAGGGAGGACTACTGCGATATCGACGAAGGTACCACGCTATATAAGCTGCGGGGATTCTGTGATGGTGCCTTGGCGTTCAAGAATGGCCGGTACGAGGAGGCGACCCACATGAAAGTCTTCCAGGACCCCGTCGCCATTAACACGCTTCATGACTCCTTGTGCGGTGCAGCGCTTGCACTTTCGTCAGCACAGCATGGATCATTTGTAAGTTCATTTTTATAATTTATCAATGATACGACTACCTCTGAGAATGAATTCAGCTGCTGACATTTGATTGTAGGGCACGAAGAAGATGATCACCCAGTGCAGAGACTGCGAGTATCACCACCCAACCCTGGAGCTTAAGCGCGACCTAAACGGAGATCGTAAGTAGAAGCTAACACTTTGCCGAATTCTTTAGTTCATCATCATCTAACATTTTATGCTTAGCTCGCGCAAACCTCTCAAAAGAGGGTGTTCTCTTCCGACTGCGCTTCTTGTTCAAATCCCACCTCCACACAGAATCCACCGGTAGCGCGCGGTACGCCTGCGTCTTCTGCCCGAAACTTGGCTTCACCTCGCACGAGGGCGACGCGACCGTCTTCACCACCCTCAAGGCCCTGTTCCGGCACCTGGCGCGGCACCCGCAGCCGCTGCCCGAGGTGCCGGGCATCACGGTGCTGTACGGCGACCTGGACGACTCGACGCCCAACATCGACGACTACGACCTCTACTTCCCGGACCCGCCGGCGCCGATCCCCATCTCGCCCATCGAGGCGTCGCTGCTGGCCCGGCTGCCGACCGCCCGCGCCGTCGCCAACCACCTGCAGGAGGACCGGAAGCCCCGGCCCTTCACGGACCCGAACGGGGGGCGCGACGTGCTCGAGTTCCTCGAGGGCGCGCGCATC